CTTATGCTCTCGCGGATTCTTCTCTCTTTGATTAATCCGCTACGCTAGCCTTTCTTCTATAGCTGTGGGTTTCTTTCTTTTATTAATGAGCTAAATCCTAGCATCGAGCTTAAGTCTTTATGGGGTGTATTCTTATTAATTGAATTCCCGTGTTAGAGTTGGTTTCTTATCATTATTGGTCAATTGTTAAGGAAGATAGACAGACTTGTTAGCTCTGTCTATCACTAACCTATATATGTTAGGTTACATTGAAGTAGCTTCAATATGTTAATATCATCTGCGTTAACCAGGAAATTATCGCTGTTGACACGATCTGATTGTTAAAAGCTACGAACCCAATCTGTAGGTTAGTGATAAGGATATTGAGGTTTGGGTTAGCCTTTTCATTGAAACCAATCGCTCGCTATTACCGATCAAACAAAGCGAGTATGGGCTCAACCTAAAAACCAGGGTAGCCAATAATGCAAGATACGCTCCACCTAAACTTGTTAAGCTTGAAAGGGAACTACTAGTAATATATACACTTAGTAGGCTCAAGTTGCCATACTCAGAGTATGGTTATTAACACTCGTTAGGGTGTGGGAATAACTCTTGTTATATAATGGTTTAGCAACCCTTAGCCTTGACCAAAGAGATGATCAATGGTCGCATAGGAATGAATCCTATGGAATGAATCTCATATGATTCATAAGATTTCTCTATGGAATGATAGCTAGTACCGACACATTTTTCTATGGAATGAATCTCAGCCTTTCACTCCGGATTTTTCGCACAATAAAAGTTGGTCTATACATATAAATAACTAAGTGTGGATAGATAAATCATTCAATCTTAGCCTTTACATATATTTGATTAGAGTGTGGAATGAATCCAAGGATATATATGATTCATAAGATTTTTCTATGGAATGATAGCTAGTACCGACACATCAAATCTGACTTACTAGTGATTAGCAAACTAATACCGACGGGGAGTAAGGCTGAGTAAATAACTGATTATACTTGTTACAGTATATAACCAACTTTATATGATCCAAGGCAAGTTAGTTTTCAAAAGAACTAAGGCTATAAATAAATCTCTAATCAACTTGCTATATCCACTCTGTTTGCTAGGTAAACTCCGTACATATAAATAAATCTTAGCCTTGTTAACTTGCTCGTTAAGTCACGAAATAAAGCAAGGAGCAAATAACGGTTTTTGATTCGTTATTTGCTCCTTGCTTTTATTGACTTTATAAGAATGGCTTCATATGATTTAAGAATAGAGTTGACTTAGACTAATTACTGGTTCCCTAGTCCCCCGTACTTAGCCCATGAACTCTCCGTCCCGCTCAAGCAAGTGTACGAGAATAAGCCACTGGGGATGTCTCAATTCTCACCTTGTCTCATTGAGACGAAGAAGTAAGCGTTAGAAACTGGCTCACATTAGCACACTTTGGCTGGCTTCTGGAACTATACTTATTGCTTCGCCCTTGCTTGTTTAATATCATTGAATTTGATCTCACTCGCATAGTATATAAAAGATAAGGCTTTGAGGCAAGGGTAGTTGACTTACTTGGCGGGTAGGCTGGTTTCATTCCAATACAAGGGAAGGGGGTAGTTCTTGTCGGCTTGGCTCCTACTTGTGAGTTCAATTCCGTATCTGTTGCCAGAGTTAGGTTAGTTGAAAGAAGTATTTGTTGACCAAGTCCTGTATTCGGGCTTCTGAAGCAGTGTGGTATCATATCAGTGCAAGCTTGAGTATTACTACTAGGCTAGGGAACCATCAAGGGAGGCAGTTAAGTAATAAGTATTTGTAACCTTTTCGTGTTCTGTTCTTGTTTCATCCCGAGGGAGAGAGTTGCCTTACTTATATTACGGTTGTCGATGAGGTGAATGAGCGGACCTAATTGAATCTTTTGAAGCAGCATACTTAATCATAGGGCAGAAGGACAGTCCAGCTCCAGCCCTTAAGTTAATTGTTTCAATCAACCCCTGTAAACTAGACTTGTTCATACACTAAAAAGCATTTCTGGAACGGGTAAGATCAGATGATAGGGAAACTCATTGAAACTATGAAACTTGTCAACGAATGCATTTCTTCCTAACATATTGAGGGTTCAGTGACTTAACTCATTAGTGTAAGGAAACTTTTGGGATTATTGACTTCCACGAATAGACTGTTAGGCTAAGAAGAATAGGGTGGGATCGATCCAAACCGAAGTACACCGCGCTACCCTTCCTTAATGCACTTTACTAAGAACCCGTACCCTCCTGCTGTGGTGCACTAAATGAATGAGTTCGGGTGCAAGTAAAGGATACTAAAGCTATAGAACACACTGTTTATTCTTTAACTTATTCTTGGGATTCTGACTAAACCTAAACTAGCACTGCTTCTACATACGAAGAAACTCATTAACTTGAAGACAAGCCCAGAGCCGAACCTTTCCTAGCATCCCAATCCATCCAATAGTGGCCTTTATGCGTTGTTGAACCTACTGGAAACTACTCTGATAGCTAATTCAGCCTATTCTTCAGCCACAACACCGACCCAACTTATTCATAATAATACTTCCAACTTATTCATAATAATACTAGAAATCTATACTCAGCAAGTGAAGTGATTGTCGACTCGAATGAAGCAAGCAGTGGTTAAGTATCAAAAGTAAGAGTATACAAGCTTAGTAGTGGTACAGACTTATATACGCGTCAACAGATTTTACCGCAGGAGCCCCTTTATCGGCCTGTTCCAGTTCAAGTTGCCTAACTTATATTACGGCTATCGGTTTAGAAAGTGTAGCTCCAGCGGAAGAATATATTAATTACTAGCTTAGAAGCTAAGGGCGTAGGGAGGCTTAAACAATACAGGATACAGGCCAGAGAGCTCCTATTACTACTACTAAGCATAGACTTATAGCAAACTGGGCATAAAGGGAAAGGAATAGCACCCATTAGTCTATGAGCGACCATTCACTAATTCTTTGATCGGAAGATTGGGCATAACCTGTTCTTCGTAACCTTTCGTAAAAACTCCTATTGGCTGGCTGGCTGGCTACCTCAACTCAGGCTACTAATACTTCTTGAAACAAGCTGCTGGCTCCTCTCTGCAGTCAACTATGTGAGTGAAAAAGTGAACTATACTTTAGAGTACAGGACTAGCTCATAGCTCATTAATATATATATTCATTTGTTCCTTACTCTCTATGCCTTCGGGTGCGATGCGAGGAAAGGATACGTCAACTCTACTCGGAGGGGTGCGATGAAAGTCTCCAGTTTCAAGTCCAGTTGTCGGCGATAGGTAGCTGCCCGGAGTCAGTCCTGATTGTCTTTCATAAGGAGCCAGATCTTAATCCAATCTCAAGTCAGGTGCAATGAAAGGTGTTGGCTCTAAAGTAAGGTCAGCTGCCGTTGCTTGTCTAGTAGTTACTTGGCGGGCCCTTCGCTTCAAATACTGACCCTGCTTATTGCCAAATCAAAGCAACTTGCTTATAATAGAAGATCAAGGACTTGTTAAAGCATGGAAAGGTGTATCCAGAAAGCACAGTCAGAGCAATGATGTAGGCGCCCTCTCACCTAATGTATTTAACCAACAGATTGCATGGATTTGGATCTCGCATCACCATGCTCCACCGGTTCCCTTCCTTTAGAATGTGTAGTAATAAGAATTGCTGTATCTCTAGGAGTATTGCGGTCTTCGTACCTTTTGTACAATCCTATTGTAGAAGCAGTGGATAAGTAACAGTACCTTCCTTATGCAAGCTAGGAAGTCAGTGATCAAGCAAATGACTTTTCCAAGTGTTCTTTTTGGACAACCAGGTAAGATATCGAATTAGTAAATAGAACAACGCTTAGTCTAAGGAAAGATATAAAAAGAGAGAAGCTTCCTAAAGTTTAAGTGGTTAAGGGTTGGAGGGCTCGGCTCACATTAATACCAAGCAGGGCAGACCTTGTCTAACAATCCATACTAGTGCGTATAACGAGCATCCCGGCCGGTAAGAAGTAGGGTGTTCTTATAATCCTTATCAGGAAAGCTTGGTTGGATAGCTAATATAAGGAAAGCTTGGTTGGATAGCTAATATAGATACCGATGTATAAATGTCTACTCTTCCTCCCATTGAGGACAAAGGGACTCTCTCTCTGGTGTTCAAGCCTTAAACTCAGTTGCTACTATCTGATTGCCCTAACTACACTTGAAGCTGATTGCCCCAACTCCCCTTAGTACAGAGTCTAGCTCCGATGCTTCTGCTTCATCTCTTGCAGACAATGCTCGAACTGCTCAGATCCATGAAGCAGTTCTTAACAAGTCCTGAGTTCATGGCGGCAGGGAGTTCTTTAGCAAAGGCAAAGATAGAAGACAAGCCAATTACCTTTACTAGACAATACTGGCAACTGCTCTTTAGTTATTCAATCTATGGATTTGACTATACAGATTACTTGCAAGGCTATAATGTTCACTGAAAAGTTGATTAGAGTTATCATAAGTAAACTCCGCCTGAGTATTAGCTAGACTATACAGATTTGATTAGAGTAAATAAACAGCAAGTAAGTCCTAGTCAGGACATATATGGATTCATTCCAAGGACATATATGAATCCAAGGCTGAGGTTGTGGAATGAATCCATAGACTATACAGATGATTCATAAGTAAGGCCATTCTATGTACATATATTTATCAAATATATGTACAGAGTCAAATATTTTTCGCACAATAAAAGTTGGTCTATACATATTTGATTAGAGTAACAAGGCGAGTTGATATATTTATCAAATATGTAACTTTTCAAAAGCAATCTATGGATTTGACTATATTTATCAACTTTTCAGTGGTTACAACCTATGAGCAGTTAAATATGATCCAGTAACTGAGCTTGCTCTTTAGT